TGTGTGTTGGCGTTTATGATTTGCATCTTCCTTCTGAACTTGTTTTAGAATTGAGTAATTGTTACTATGTGCATGCGATTAGCAGAAACATCATTTCTATCTCTCCTGTTAAGGAGGTGACAAGTCCCATATTGCATGTCTACTATCTCCATATGATTCGTGAACGTGTCTGATCAACGCCGTTATAATCACCCGGTTAAAGACGACGTTTGACGCAGTCAAGACACGCCACTCCTCATATCAGATACTCTAGACATCTCAGGTCTGAGGATCCAAGAACGAACCGCTTTATGAGATTCAAGTCATGACTCTGTCCATGTGACAATCTCATGCGGGTCATCCAGTCACTCGTTCACAACGAGTACCCATGATTGTGACATGCATCCAATGCATCGATCACACCTCATACTAGTCTTAATTCAACATTGTTCCCACAATATTGACTGACTAGGGAGTTTAGAATCATTCTGTAATGATTCAAGGATACCGAAATATAACAAACATGCCAATCATATAACGGGAATGTAATGCATTCATAAATCAATGAATCAATACAAAGTCAAAATGTCATATCACGGATCATCCTAGAGCATTACAACCAACAATGACAATCTGGAAAGTCCTTCAATGCATCCTTCGTAAAGTAGAGTATTCGCCGAATGAAGCATACCATAGAATCTTTTCGAAAGGTTTTCAATGAAACAAGAAACAAAATACTTTGATAGAATAAGTACACTCAAAACTATCATTCTATAGGATGAGCTTAGCGGCTTCGTCAGCATGATTAAACATTTTTTGCTTCGGTAAACATACCGAGAATTATCCCATGAGCTCCTCTATAGTAAGAGCTTATAAATGATCCAAACCTCTCTTGCCCAGCTGCACATTTATATAGATGAAATCATTTTAAGATATTCAAAATATCCACACATCAAGTGTACGGATACTTCTCATCAACGTAATAAATTAAATACATTCTAAGGGATTTGTGGTTTAGTTACCAGTGTCCCAAATTGTGAGCTTTAATCTTTTTTGGCCAACGTCGAGAAGCTTGATTTTGAAATCTACACCTGAAAAAAAGGCTAGATATGTGAGTCAAGAGCAAAAGAAAACCATAAATGTGTGTAAAAAAAAGTTGCTTAAAGCAGTTACGAGAAGTTGCAACGCTGCAAGTTATTGAAAGGAAATTATGGAGAAGTTGGTTTCTATCGGTTACTAATAGTTTTTTTTGTTTGTATAATATGGAAGTTTGACTCAACTATATCTCCCAGCGGATCAGAGAAATCTAGGTGAATGCCCCTCCCTAAATGGAGAAGAGTTGTGCCCATCCTTTACCGGTTCATCCACCCAATTTTGGATCGGTTAATAATGGTTGCTCTATAAAAACACCATTTATGATTGTAAAATAGTAATTGCAAAGAGAGGATTTCTGCAATTCTACTCGAGTCAAAATATGTCTATGTATTGAGTGTGTTTGTGTTGTAAGTATTAACCATAACATTTTTTTTCCGAGGTATTGATAAGAAAACGAAAGATGTTGATATTTCAATTTAGAAAACACACACACAGTTTATAATAAGCTTTGATTATTCAATTGGTCGCTAGCAAACAAAAATAATCCAAAGATTCCCACTAAATAATTTAAAAAAAAAACTAAAAAGAGTTTCCAGCAACAGCAGGGATAAAATAAGAGAAAATAAGGATGCTAAAACTAAATCAAAAGTCGTCTAAAACATTATATGCGAATGATTTCATTACCAGTACCAACAAATTTTTATCGAGATTCAGCGACAAAACCGGTTTGAGAATGAACCAAACCGGCATTTCATTTTCCCAAATTCATGAAGACAGAGAGAAGCGGAGGGGGGGGTTGGGGAGAGATCACGAGCAGAACCAGAGACAAAACTCATCAGAAGACTGGTTTTGCCAACTCCTGAATCACCAACCAACAAGATCTTGAAAGAGTAATCAAAGCTAGCTTTTGAAGCCGAAGACCAACTCTTCATCTTTCATTCATCCATAAACCCTTTACTCAAAAACATAGAAGGAATTTACATTGACTATTGGAGGAAAGAATGAAAAAAAATCCTCTTACCTCAATAAGAAAAACGTAAGGAATAACCACTACCAGAGTTTCAAGAGAAAAGAACAGATTTGAACGAGATTCTGGTAGGGTTTTCACTTTCCTTGATGAGAAATAATCCTTTGTTGAAGTGTTGAGACAGATGTCCGGTGACTATTGTCCACGTGGAAGTTTTGTATAATCCACGTGGTCCTTTCCTCTTTGATTTCGTACGTCAGCTTATTGAAAATTATTTTTGGTTTGTACAAGATTCGTGTCGTGTACTCGTCGACCTCATCCGGAGAAAATACGGCATTCGTTTATTTATTACTTTTGTAAAACGTCGTCGCAGGGACAAAGAATTATAATATTCTTTATTATTTTTAATTAAATTGTTGGAATTGATCAATTAACTTTAAAATTATAAAATTAGAATTTAAATCATATAATAAAAATTGGCATTGATTAATTATTGGGTTATAAACGTCAGATAATATTATATTTTTAAATAACTTATAAATGATACAAATTTGAAATTTGTTTAGGAGGACACTTTTTATTGTTGATTGACCAAATGGTTTTTCAATCATAATTTCGTGGGAGGGTTTTCTATGTATTTTATTTTTAGTTATACTTTAATTTAATTTGTCTCATCTACTTCTCCCAAAATTCTACTAATAAAAGCATGTATGTAACGTCTCTGTCTTCTCCGTCTATGGACTGATTATGAAGGAAAAACAAAGATTAGTTTATTATGTTATGGGATATGTGTATATATAATGAGAAGTAATATAAATATGTTAATATGCATAGTATGAATATGTTAGTATATCTTTAATACACCTAAATATTCTATTTTTATAAATATAATACTATATAAATATGTCTATATATCGATACTCTCTTTTGAACGGAGGTGATATCAATCTTGATACAAAGACCATGTAATAAAGAATGAGGTAAAAGCTTCATGAGAATGGAACCGAGTAATGTCGCAAGGTGACGAACTCTGAAAACTGGAACAGTCCATTTCAGATCTAAAACTGTTCGTTCCAAAACCTATTTTCGTGAGTTTGAGATCAACTCCGAAAAAAACCCGATCAAGGGCCGGACATCGTTCTTTGGAAGCATGGAGACAATGACTTCAAGACATTCTTTAAATCATCAAGTACATGGAATCTGATCCGCACATCCAACCCGACGGTTCAATGGTACCCTCTAGTTTGGTTTCAGTATTCCGTCCCTCGCCATGCTTTTGTTCAGTGGCAAGCGATGCATAACCGTCTCCCAACGAAAGATCACCTACACCGTTGGGGTATTATATCTGATGTCACTTGCAACCTATGTGGTGATGAAGATGAATCACATCAACATCTTTTCTTCAAATGTACCTACAGCAGGCAACTATGGAACTTCTATGCCTCTTGTGGTTGGCCAAGCCCACCGGAGGAACTACACGGCTGCTTATCATGGATCGATAATCCGAGCAACGATTTCGCAAGGAGCAAGAAAATAATCAGCAAGCTGATAGCACAAATTGCAGTATATGAGCTATGGAGAGAAAGGAATCACCGCATATTCCGAAACCGAGCACGACCAATTGATGTTATTCGATGGAAGTTGGACCACACGATGAGAACCATCCTACTTGCCTCTAAGGGACCGACAACAAATGCCGGTAACTCCATCCTACAACACTATTATTCTCTAACTGAGAACACAAGGCCACGTCTGTCAGTTTGATAGTTTGATACATTAATTCTTGGTCATTTCTGAGACCAATTTTTATTTACCACTTCCACACATGGGCTATCTTACATTTTTGTATACATCTATAGACTATTTATAAACATTATTTTTGAGTTTAATACAATCACTTTTACCAAAAAAAAACTCCGAAAAAAACCCTAATTTTTGCACAAAATATTCAATTTCATTCAAGGTTCATAGAAAACGGTCCTAATACTAGGTATTTAGTGGAGTTAGCAAATATGAGTTAGTATGACTCAAAATATCATAAAAAGAACCAAACTCTATATAGAAATTAACCAATTTCGAACGCCACTATAGTTTTGGTTCAATCTTCCTCAAATCACTTAGAGACGCACAGAAAAACATGAATCGAGATTATGAAGCTTATCTGACTTTTAGGTCGAAGGAAATTAAAAATCAGGGTTTCGGAAAGAAAGAAGTTCAAATCGTTCACAAAAATATGCAGAATGTCATAAAACGGTTTAAACTACTTACTTTATACTCGGAAAAGTGACTCGGTCCATTTCAGATCTAAAACGGATCGTTTAGATTTTATCCGAGTTCAATAAATGCAATGTGTTGAAACTGGACCGTCGATCCATTGAACATCTGAATCATCCGGCCTAGATCTTGGATTATCTATGCTAGTTTCGTCCGGACAACCTGCAACATGTCAAACACCGATATCTAATATGCCATAAATATAAAGGAGAACATCAAAAGTCCAAAAACAAAAGGAAAAACGAAAAATAGTGACGAAGGATACTGATGGAGTCTTCAGCAAACTTGACGGAGGCTCAGACATGTGTTGATGATGTGGATGAGACAAGTTTCCAAAGCTTCTAGGTCATTCCAAGGGTTCAAGGCAGAGGACTAACGGAGAGATGAAACGGTGTCGTTAGTATTAACGGCAATATAGTAATTTTGTAAGCCCATGATATGAGGGTATTAGGGTGGTATTTTCCCTGGGTTTATTCATGTATTCTTATACATTCTTCTTCTTGGCGGCCAAGAGAGAGAAATCTCTCTTTGGGTCTACATTTTCCGGCGACTTTCATCGGAAGATTCTTCTCTCCGAACAGTACTAATATAAATCCGGCCCTCCTCTTCCCGAGACAGGCTTGAGCAAAGCTCGATAACCGAACTCGTTATATCATGTCTTTTACATTTCTTGCTCGTTCTTGGTTTTTCCAGTGAGATTCGAGTGTAATCGAGAGATCTTCGGCTCAAACCACTACAAGTAGTATCAGAGCCCGGTTGCGGGGTAGATTCGTGGAGAAACGTGTGATTCAAGGCTTTCGAGGTAAGGATCTTTGAATGGGTCCTTTGTGTTAATTTCTCTGACTTGTTTGTGGTTGTTTCTGGCGAATATTGCTGCGAGGAACTTCGTCGGGGATAGATCTGAAGCCGGCAGAAACCGCGGTGACAGAAAGTAACACAAAGACGGACGGTTTAAAGCAGAATGAGTAGATCTGAGGCTTGCAAGGTGAGTTCTCTGGTCGATCTCTCTGGGTTTTGGTTTTCTGACATGTTTGGTGCCTATTTCCGGCGGATCTTTCAGCGAGAGACTTCGTCGGGTATAGATCCAGAGTCGGTGGTGGCTATTTCCAGTGGATCTTGTGGCGAGGGGCTTCGTCGGGTACAGATCCGGAGTCAGTAGTGACTGTTTCCGGTGGATCTTGTAGCGGGAGACACCGTCAGGTGAAGATCCAGAGCCGGTGGTGCTTGCGATGTCAGAAACCTGGACAACGACGGACGATTACATGGTGATAACTCACGGTCGAGTCACGCCGAGGTAAGTCCGGTAAGTTTGTCAGTAACGTTCTTGCATTTCTGGTGGAATCTAGGTTGGTTTAGGGTCGATGTATCGATTTCGGTAGTTCGGATTTCCGGAGACGAGTTAGGTTTTGTTTTTGGGTATACCGGTGGATTTCCGGAGACAGGTTAGGATTCTCGGTGGATTCACCGACTTGACTCAGTGGCTAGGATTAAACGAGTTAGGGTTCTTTGAGTTGATTTAACGAGTCAACACAGCGAGTTAAAAAATTTTCGGTTTAAATCGGGCTTGACCGGTTTAGATTAATTTTGATCTACTAGGTCAATTTTAATCTGTGTTATTTTGGTACGGTTCAATTTTGGCCGGTTTGGTCAATTTGAACCGGTTTGGTCGGTTTTGGATCAATTTTGACCTGTCTGGGCAATTTTGACCTGTCTGGTCTGGTTTAGATCAATTTTGACCGGTTTAGGTCAATATTGATCGGTACAGTTAATTTGGTTTGGTTTGGGTCAATTGGACCGGCTTAATCGGTTTTCCAATTGTGACCGGTTTAACCATTAACCAGAGTTGACCAGAGTTGATCATTGACCAGGTTGACTATTGACCTTTGACCAAGGTGGATCATTGATCTGGTGGTCATGTTTTTCACGGTCGGTTTAGGTCAATTAGTTGGGGAAACTTGTCGGGTAAGAAGTGTTTCAGAATAATGTTTCGTAATAGTTTCGGGATCAGTTTCGAGAAAACTTGTCAGGGAATTAATCGGAATGGTGATTTTGGGAATACTTTGGGATAAGTTTCAGGGTCAAGTTTTAAGTTGTCATTTTCTTCCGAAATTGTCTGGTAGAAGCTTCTCGGGGATGAAAGTTTCGGGTAGAGAATTTAGATTCTCAGATAGAAAGTTTCGGGTAGAGAGTTTTGATTAGAAACTTTCTTGTTAGAAACTTTCGAGTAGAGACTTTTGGGTAGAGAATTTCGGTAAGGACAATTTAGGTAAGAAATGACAGGTTTAAGTTGCATCTCAAGGTCGATAAGTTTGATGGGAGTGGAGGACTTCTCTTTAGAAAAGAGAAGGTAAATTATCAGGTTAGGATAATTTGGTTTAGCTGATCTTTAGAAAGTGACCAGGTGTAATGGGAGGACGGAAAGAAAGGTTATCCTAGAACTCAATCTTGGATAATCATAACGGATCGAGTCGCGGTGGAGATATCCGAGATGTCAAGAGTTAGGCGGAGTCATCCTACCGAGTCTCAGGGAGTCAGACTGGCTGAGAAAGACTTAAGTACTTTGTGTCTCCAAGTCAGACATACTGGGTTCTAGGGCTAAGGAACTTGTTGTATTAGGTCTAGCGGGTCGAGTCCAAATGGAAAGTCTTTGTAGAAAGACAAGCCAAGGTGGATCTCGAATAGGCTAGAAAGTGATACGTAGAGTGTGGTCACTCCCGGTTGTTATATCTTGATACGGGTTTTGGGCTTAAGGGTGGCTCCTGCCTATAAGCAGTTGAGAAGATTTCTAAAGCAATCTAGAGTGACTTTCTCAACTGAAGAAGTCAAGGCTACCGTTAGGGTCCGAGTTTAGGAGCTCCT